AGGGATCCATCTTGTATTGCCCAATGATGTCTCTCCACCTTTCCCAGTCATTTATTCCTCCTGTCTCCGAGTTCATTGCCATGCATTCTCATCGCGATTCAATGCAATTTCTCGTTGCACGACTTGGCGAACAAGCACCCATGGCTTTATTGTCCGAATCGGTCATCGGAGAGAGAACACAAATGACTAATCGAAGGAGTGGTTCACACAGTATGGCTCACGGGCAACCAGTCCACACACCCACAACTGTCACCTCCCCTTCCCTCGTTCGTGCTTCATTTGTTGGTTGACCTTTTCCTCGATCATTAATTTAATAATTTCTTCTTAATTCATTCCTTCATTCATATTTGTTCTTTCACTTGTTTCTCTGTCCACCTACCCACCCACCCACCGATCCAACCCCACCCACAACACCCACACACCCATCCACACCCACCCACGTCGACGAGTGTTTTGCAGTAGGGCTCAAGACCACCCCTCCCTTCCATTCCTTCCCTTGTCCGTTCACTCGTCCTTTAGTTAATTGATTCACTCTCCCCTCCATTCATTCCTTCATTCCTTCATTCCTTCATTCCTTCATTCATGATTTTTCTTTCATTCATCTGTCTGTCCTCCACCCACCAGTCAAGCCACCCACCCACCAGATCCACTCCTTATGTTCTTTTGATTTTATTATTTTTTTTCCGCCTGTTTCTGTTCTGGTTAAAGGTTGCTCTGTGACAAATTTGGTGTTTTTTGGAGTATCGGAAATACTCTGCTGACATTTCTTCTTAAATTTGTAACAATTTCTGAGATTGGAATGTTGGCAAAATTTGGATGAAAGTGCACTTTTTCCTTGCAGTGTTCTTTTTTTTTTTTTTTTTTTTTTTTTTGAAAGTTGGAAAACTTTGCAAGTCTCTCCCCTTTTTTCCGTTCTTTTTTTTTTTTTTTTTTTTTTTTTTTTTTTTGCAGTTAGTTAATATGGTGTCCACTCTGATGACTGTCTCTTATACACATCTAGATGTGTATAAGAGACAGGGTGTGCAACTTCGCAATTTGGACCTCCCCGTTTGGGCCTTGGCCTTTTGCAATAGCCCTTGGGAAAAGTTGGCAAGTACCGGGGCATTTTGCAAA